ATTTGGGAAGGTTTTTTTGGGAAGGGGAAATTCAGGAAGGTGTTTCGGGAAGGGTTTTTGGGAAGGTGCTTTGGGATGGGGAGATTTGGGAAGATTTTTAGGAAAATTTTTTGGGAAGGTATTTCAGGAAGGATTTTTGCGAAGGTTTTTCAGGGCAGGTGATCTGGGATGGGGAGATTTGGGTGAGAGATTCAGAAAGGTAATTCAGGAAGAGTTTTTGGGAAGGGGAAATTCAGGAAGGTGTTTCAGGAAGATATTTCGGGAAAGGTTTTTTGGGAAGGTTTTCCGGGAAGATGCTTTGGGATAGGGAGATTCGGGAAGGTTCTTTGGGAAAGGGAAATTCAGGAGGGTGTTTCAGGAAGGTTTTTTTGGGAAGGCTTTTCGGGCAGGTGATTTGGGATGGGGAGATTTGGGTGAGAGATTCAGGAAGGTTTTTTGGGAAAGGTTTTTCGGGAAGATGCTTTGAGATGGGGAGATTCGGGAAGGTGCTTTGGGAAGAGGCTTTGGGAAGGTGTTTCAGGAAGGTTTTTTTGGGAAAACACTTTGGGAAGGTTTTTCAGGGCAGGTGCTTTGGGATGGGGAGATTTGGGTGAGAGATTCAGGAATGTAATTCAGGAGGTTTTCTTCGAAAGGTTTTCCAGGAAGATGCTTTGGGATGGGGAGATTTAGGAAGGTTTTTAGGAAAAAATTTTGGGAAGGTATTTCAGGAAGGTTTTTTGGGAAGATGCTTTGGGATGGGGAGATTCGGGAAGGTGCTTTGGGAAGGGGAAATTCAGGAAGGTGTTTCAGGAAGGTGTTTCAGGAAGGTTTTTTGGGAAGGTTTTTTGGGAAGATGCTTTGGAGAATCGATTGTGGCCGAGCTCAGGGACACCCTGAGGGGGAGAAGGGGAGGGACAAGGCGGGGCCAGGGAGGGGCCAGGGAGGGGCCAGGGCGGGGCCAGGGCGGGGCCAGGGAGGGGACAGTGCCACCTCCACCTGCCGCCTCCTGCAGTGCCCGCGGTCGCCACCGGGTGGGGCCATCGGGCCGGGAGAGAGGCGGCGGCGCTGGGGGGGGGCCGGGCCGGGCTCGGGGGGCTCCGGATCCCCGGGAATTGATCCCGGCTCCAAAGGGGGATCCCACCCTGGCAATGGGGGGGGGGACCAGGAGGAGCCCCCACACCGGGATGAGCCGTGGTGGGGACGGGAATTCCCGTGGGATGTGATTTTTTTGGGAGAAGGGGAGGGGGTGAGGGAGGGGAGGGGGGGGTCTCCGGATTGGGAATGGGGTGGGGAGGATCCCAAGGATGCGGGAATTGGGGGGGATCCTGCTCCTCGGTGGGGGGGAGAGGGGAAATGAGTGGGATCCAGCTT